GAAATTTTAAAAATACTATCAGAGAAACCAAGTGCCTCAAATTTTACTTGAAGCTTTCATCAGAATGGTTCACAAAATCGTCAGTAGGATAGTATTTTTCCAATTTTTAGAGCCAAATATGTTGAAGGCGGCTCAAATAAATATAGACAAACTATATATTAGAAGCAAATATAAGGCATTTCATTTAAAAAAGTTGAAAGTACGAAAAATTTCAAATTTCTTACATTAAAATTTTGTTTTTGACGATGGATTCTGAAAATTTAGTGCACAACTTTTGTGTTCACACCTATCATCTACCTGTAAGGGTAAAGGCTGCAGGTGGGGTGTCAAATTATAACCAGACACCCTGTACATACAAATAGAATAGGCTAGAGGTCCGTGATAAAATGACGCCATGACATAAAATTCTGTTATATACGGTCCCTGGAAACCCGGAAAAATTGGTCGATTTAGTGTTGATTTTTAAAATTATTTTTTCTTATCTAGGGGGGGGGCATGGCCCCCATGGCCCCTCCCTGGATCCGCGCCTGTTCCCATGGTTAGCCTTTTCTCACATTCATCAAGGACTGTTCTGCGAAGAGACAATTCATTTTAAAGAGTATCCTGAAACATAACATTGAAGGGTTATGCGAAACACGTTGGACAGAAATAAGGCATGATTCCGTCTCGAGATTTAAAAATGATTTGAAGAAAATAGTTGAAGCACTGGATAAAATTAGTGCTTGGAGGGAATCGGCATCTTCCATAAAAGCTAGATTATACAAAAAAGCCATTCTCAACTTCGAATTTATAGTAGCCTTATTCTGCCTGTCTGAATTACTGTCAATTACTTAACCCCTGAGTGTTATTTTTCAGAAGAAAAACCTAGACAAAACACAGGCCATAGACATTTTAACTTCAACTTTACACGCTTTAAAGGAAAAAAGATCACTCTCCGAAAATAATTTCAATAAATTATGGGAACTGGGAACAAATTGAAGAATATTCAGACGATTTGATTTAGGTATTCATCCGCAAATGCCTAGATTACCAAAACAAATAACGCATCGTGAAAATCATCCAGCAGCTAAGCCAGAAAATTACTGGAGAGTTACCATATGTGTCGTTATTGGATAATATAATATCCGATTTAGAATCGCGCTTTTCTGATAGCGTTCTGAACATTTTTGATCTCAATATATTTATACCAAATGTAGTAATTAAATCTTCCGCTGATGAGATCAGAAAAAAGATTTCTAGTCTTACAAATAAATATTTTAAATTATTTGATGTTGAAGAAAATCTTCTATTTGATTCTGTCCTAGGAGAAACTGATGTTTGGCAGACACATTGGCAACGGCAATTTAAGGAAACTAACGCCGTGCCAGATAATGTTTTAGATTCCTTAAAAAACTGTGATAATATAATATTTCCTTACATACAGAAATGTTTGGGTTGTTTGCCTACGAGTAACGCCACACCAGAAAGAAGTTTTTCTTCCTTAGAAAGAAACAAAACTTATTTATGGACAAATATGTCACAGGAAAGGCTTTCTCGTTTGGCTTTACTTAATATTCATAGAGATATTGATATAATTGACATATTTGCCAAAGCATCTAAAAGAAAAATAGATTTTATTTTATAAGCTCATGATACTTAGGATTGGGAAAGGATAATATTTATTTTCAGTTGTTTCTTTTAGTGTTCCTATATATCTTAGTTAACAACTCGAATTTGGAGAGTTAGTTTTTAATTTTTTTTATTTTCAATGGTGGTTACAATTCAACTGACTTAAACCTAAGTAAAATTAATATTTATAATTATTAGCTTTGCTGACAAAGCTGTTCCCAAGAAATGCAACGGTCGGTCGGGTTCTGAAAACAAAGTAACAAACTGCTGAACTCTTAAGTTTATGAGAATGTAACTTCTTGTTTTTTTTTCTACCTATTATTGAATAATGGAATGCAAATATTTATTTTCTATTTCGTTTTTATACTAGCTTTAAAGCAGTTTGTGTGGTGTTAAAGTTTGTTGTTTATTAAATTTAATAAACTGGCATTATTGTCACTACCTAAGTAAAGTTCGTCGATTTTAATCTGATACTCGGAAGGAATGTGAGCTGGTGGCACACCACTCACATTATCTCGGCCGACGGTGTAAGTTGACGGGCGAGGCGTAGCCGAGACCGGCAAACACCGAAGGCCGAGAATGTGCTTTTCCAGCGAAATACACATACTATTTTTTCTGCGATCGGGTAAATACCCGTTAAATGTTTGTCTTTTAGTTCCAATTATTCAGCAATACGAGAATCACTTTCCCGACCTAGGCCGGAAAAGTGTTTCCAGTATTGTTATTAATTGATTCCTTAGCAACTATTAAAACATAATTAATTAAAATACCAGAATATTGAGTTTTGCGACCTGTCAACCGGTTAAAAATTCTGACATTTCTTGTCACTCGCAGAAAAATAAATATTCATATAAAATCAAGAATATTATGTACCTACCTATTTAAAATGACCTTATTCTCCTAAGTAGTTCCCCCATTCCCATATTTTTATGGGCCATTCCTTCGAAAAACCGTATCTTGCACAATGCGCTGCCAAAACTAACCCAAACTAACTCAATCTGGCTTACTTTAACTTAAACTGCCCCCCCCCCTTCAAAAGGCCTGTATTCGCCCCTGAACAAAAGCGCATTACTTATATTTCGTTACTGAACTAATATTGTAACTATCACAGATGTTTTGTTTGACCAGAATCGCAGTACCTATACCACCGCGGATTGAAATTTCACGTGAAAAAATGGAAATCGCCAAGTAACCAGAAACATAACATGGGTTATAAGGTTTTAACCAATGTTCAGTAATCAATAAGATTTCTGGTCCATTCTGGTCTTCAAGAAATATAGACAATTCGTCTGTTTTGTTTTTAATTGACTGAATGTTAAGTAGAAGTATGAAGAATGAATCAGTTGACATTTTGAAGTTTAGTTCCCTATTAGTTAATTTTTTTCTGACGATGCTGTAATTTACATTAAAAAATGCTGTGATAAAAGTTGAGTTATTTTTTCAGCTATCGGGTCTTCAAAAAAAAAAAACCAATCAAAGATTGCTATGGTTTCTTAAACGTATGTCTTAGCCCTATTTTCCTTTAATTTTGTCAATGAACTTCAATGTCAAAATGTCATGTCAAAAATCCTGACCAATTAGGCATTCCAGGTTAATGTCATAATCGATCCGCCATATTAGTTTGGGGGGCACACAAAAACCAAACATAACCTGATTCAATGTTAAACCAAGAATTTTCAATCTATTTTGTGAAGATGCCTTCTATTTGCTGCGTTGTTAGGTGCTCTAGTAGAGCGGAAAGAGATAAAGAAATGTTTTTCAGGATCCCAGCAGCATTAGGAGATCTAGGGAATCGTCTAAACGAGCTAAAAAAGGAACGACGAAATCTGTGGATTAAATGCCTCAAAAGGAGAGATTTAACTGAATCGTTTCTGAAAAATGCTCGTATTTGTTCAAAACATTTTGTTAATGGTAAGTATTATGACTGTCTTGTTAAAATACAAAAACACATTTATATTGAAAAATTGGTTTGTTTCTACAAGTAATATTTACTTTTAATACCTTTTAGGTAGTCCAGCAGAACTTGAATAACCCTTTATATACGCCTTCAACTGCAAGCCTGTGTAGTAACTGTGGGTATGGGTCAAATATTCGGATAAATCCAAAATTGAAACCTCTGGCAACTCATTGATACTTAAAGTAAACTCATTAGGTAGAAGTTTATAAGGATCTATATTGGCAATTATTTGTATTTTTTGGTCATACCGACATTTCACATCACTAGCTAACGATGAATAATAGTCAATGTTAGCCATTCTACCACAAAAACAACTTAAAACTTATTGAGAGAATTTAAGAACGCAAAAATTCGGAAACACAATCTCAAAGAACGGTGTAAATACTGATCTAGGCTTTGTTTGCCCCCCAGCGGACCTGTCAAAAGTCACGTGACCTGGAATGCCTAATAAAGAAACAATAATGCGACATACGTTTTCGTATTCAAAGCAATCTTTGATTGGTTTTTATTTTGAAGACCCGATATCTTTATTTTACCTATAAATTTTAAGGTGTTTGCACGAAAAATAAATTCGTAAACCCATAGCTTACGATTATTTGTAACTTTTTTGTTTATAGAATCGTGACTGGCTTGTCATTCGTGCCATACGTGCTGGTTGCTAATACCATTAATATAGATTAGTTTTCCTCAGTCAGTCCTGGATTCAGGCATAGGCTGTATGGAATTTTACCCATTTAGAAGTACCTGTCGTTTTAGTGACAAAACGTATGTCGCTTCTTGACACACAAATAAAAGTAGGTTAGGAATTTCCTATTTGTATATGAAATTGACGTATTAGCAATCGACATTCGTTTTTGTTGGTAATTTTTTGTTTCATCTGATTCATGATTGATAAATAAGGATGAGGTTATTCTAAATGGGTACTACAAATACTTATACCTATGGCGGCAAATTTTGGTGTGGCAAATTTTAAGTGGCGAAAATAATTACTTAGAAATAAAATTAAATTGCGCCCTAAATTAACAAAAAAAAAGCTCGTCGCTTACTTCTACCAAAGTTTGCTTCTACCTACCCGAGTAAATATCTCTTTGCATTTTCTCCTCTCTATACAATTATATACATTTATTATTTATTTATAGCAACTCATTCGACTTTTTTCTTCGTCAACAATTTCTGTAATGTAATATTAAAAAAAAAGCGGCGAGAAGTTGTAAACCCGGCCCTGTCCCTGCTCTTATATCAAATGAGTAGGTACGCGGCTAAGTAGACTTTACAAAACTGTACCAAATGTTATCAAAGAACTACTGAATAAAAATTCATATAAATTGAAACCCTCTTTAATAAATTCATTAGATTCAAGTCTCGTTTCCAATCGAAATGTCTCAGTTATCTAATTTTATAATATTCGCCAATATCCTATTGACCATTAGTTCAAATGTGGCCGCTAAAAATGATTGTGCGTAATAAAAGAATTTGACCAAGTTAATGCAACAATTAAAAGATGCACCAACATAGTAGTGGACAGTTTGGTCGTTCCTGGAGGACAACAGTTGCTTCTCCAATTAACTGAAAGTTCCACTCTAGCGTTCAGAGGTACTACAAAATTTGGGTTTGCTAAATGGAAAGGAAATTTGGTAGTTATCACGGGATGCAACATTACCGTTTATGGAGAAAAAGGTAACCGTTTCCAGTCTTAAACCAGCATTTTTTTTATTATTTAATTTCATAGATTCTCTCCTGGATGGTCAAGGCCCTTTATGGTGGGATGGTCAAGGTTCATGGGGCAACGTCACAAAACCAAAATTCTTCAGAATCAAGAATACTAATAATTCAATTTTCTATGATATCAATATCAAAAATTGTCCAATGGGTTGTACGCAAATTGAACTAAGTGAGAATGTAACTTTAAGAAATTGGAAAATCGATATTTCAGATGGAGACGAGGGGGTGGCGCCTGAAAATAAATTCGGCCACAATACTGATGGCTTTGGGATTTCGAAAAGCCAAAATATACTTATTGAAGATGCAGTAGTTCACAACCAAGACGACTGTGTAGTTATAAATAGCGGTAAAAATATTACTGCAAGGAATTTGTTTTGTTATGGAGGCCATGGATTGTCTATAAGCGATGAAGGATCAGTAGTTGAGGATGTAGTCTTTGAAAACTGTACTGTTACCAATTCAGAAAATGGTATACACGTCAAAACTTGTGTGGACGCAGGACATGGTTTGATAAAAAATATTCTGTATAAAGACATTACTCTACTTGGTAAGTGACAATATTTTGCCCAAATACTTAGATATATTAGCTCTGTTCCAACAGACATGAGAACCGTTCTAGAACGGTAATTTCTAGTCGATCAATCCATTTGTCAATTAGGATAAACGTTCAACTTACTAAAAAATAATAAGTGGACAACTGGAAATTATTGGTCCTAGAACGGTTCTCATGTCTGTTGGAACAGAGCTAATATAATGCATTTATTTCTCATAGATTGCACAATGTTTGGCATAAGGGTACAGCAAAATTACCAAAACTTGCCACATGGGCAACCCCAAAATAGACCTCCAAGTAACAACATTCCCATCGTTAACCTAGAACTGTCAAATGTTCGTGGAAATGTTTTGGATGAAGCTGTTCCTGTATTCGTTTTGTGTGCCCATCAAGGTTGTTTAGATTGGAAATGGGAAGGAGTCAATGTTAAGGGTGTGCTCAGCAATAATTGTAACGGTTTCACACCTGAAGGTTATAATAATTGTTAAATATTGAACCTATGTAGAATGAAAGCATTAAGTACATATGGGTATACAATCAATCAAATTCAATTTTTTATATTATTTTATCCCATTTTGACGTTTAAAAACGACATTATTGAACGCATAATAACAAAGGTAAGTAGAAGTTTAGCACCTGAGTGACTTAAAATATTTTTAACTCACTCTCGGTCTAAGTCACTCTGCTAGTATAAAAATCTGCTACAAATACAAACAAACAACTAGTTATACCCTAGCAACCACCAATTTCAATAATTAGCGCTTTCATAACCACTAATTCTTTTCATAATTTAATTCCTATTAAGTACCTTATTTTTCAAATGTCTATCAAAATGAGATAAAATTTTGTATAAATCACGTGAGTTAAAATGTTTATTCATTCGAAGAACGAAACTTTCTTTTCATGAATAAACATTCATTTAACTCACTTGGTGTATAAATAACTATTATCCCATTTTGACGTTTAAAAATAACATTATTGAATGCATAATAGCAAAGGTAAGTAGACGTTTATCACTTGAGTGATTTAAAATAATTGTAACTCACTCTCGGTCTTTTAAGTCACTCTACCAGTATAAAAATCTGCTACAAATACAAACACACAACTAGTTATATCCTAGCAACAGTAGCAACCGCCAATTTCAATAATTAGCGCTTTCATATACTAATAAATGAATTTTTTTTATAATTTGATTCCTATTCTTCGAATAAAATTAACCCACTCACTAGAGCTCGTGAGTTAAACTTTCTTCTCATGAATGAACATTCATTTAACTCACTTGGTGTATAAATAACTAATAAGTCATGTTCTGTTGAGAGGATTAGAAAAAAATCTGAACGATTTAACTGGACAGAGCCGCGCCCTCGGGGCCTAAGAGCCTCAAAATTTTTCCTCAAAATACTTAGTTTTGAGAATCTCTAGCACCTTATTAAATCCTAAATCCTAAATGTACAAAATTAGTAGAATATAACATAGAGTGACCAGATCTTGAAAGTCCAAAAACGGGACAAAGTCACAAAGTTCTCAAAAATCTTGATCCCATTTTCAGTTTAGTTTTTTTGGGTACTTGGACCTAGGTTAGTGATTAATAAATTACATTCTTATGTAGTGATACAAACTATGTAATGAGATACAAAAAAAAAACAAATTTTATACCACAAAAAAAATCAGAAGCAGCGCCGTACACGTCTCCCCCTCATACAACTTTTAGACTGCGTATGAGTCGGGGTAAAGACGAAGGACCACACAAAAAAGAGACCCGCATCTGTAGTTACGTCACAGAGGTATCGCTGCTAAACAACATTGGCGTATCCGGGATTTTGGTTTGGGGGGCTCTGTGAACAAAAAGTGTTGACCCAAAAAAAAAAAAAAAAGAACGCTGCGCACAATACAATAGTCCATTTTCACTTGCCTCTTATTAGCTAAAGCCGTAAAGCCAATATATTCATACGCTTGTTGCCACATGTAGAAATGCCGAAATGTTTTATTAGAGTTCAACGATTATACCTGTCCTTTCTTTTTTTATGAAGTAGTAAAGGACAAACATAGGTCATAGGTTGTGACTAGTTTTATGTCAGCTATGTTTGGGAATGGTTTACTAATGAGAAATTCGGCATCCTCGCATGTTTGGGAAAGTGACGTCCCTTTCCTATCCCGCGTTTTCACAGCAGTTTAAAAATTCGATTTTCAAACATTTTATTTTCGAAAATTAGCGTTTTTTGGGAAGTATACTGATGGTATGAAAATGACTGACAGATTAATTTGAAAATTTGAAAGTTGCCTATTTTTGTCAGAATTCACCTGTAACATACCCAAATGTTACGCGCTTATTCTTTTTTGCGGGGCGATAAAAATGTTCGTATCGGGCTACTTATTCGCTTTTTTTTGTAAGAGGAAACATTTCGTACACGGAGTCTCTTCTCTCCTGAGGAAAGAAGTATTTCAGACATTCAAGATGATTAAGATGAAGCACTGATTCCCTTGCTGCATTAGGCGCCCGCCATAGAAAAACCTTATTATAGAAAGAAATACATTTTATTTTTATTTATTTTACAAAAATTGTGCATGTCACATAAAATGCGCTGAAAAAAAAAAACGTCTAGACTTGCCTTGGGGGGGCTACAGCCCGGCAGCCCCCCCTCCTGGATACGCCTATGCTTGACAATGATAGACAATCCTCTTGACTTATGGGCCCCACAGACTACGATAAAACACGACGGTTTTCATCGCCGCGATGAAACACACGTCGTTCCAAAACCGAAGTGTGTGGTAGAAAACCGTCGTGTTTTTCTACCACACACTTCGGTTTTGGAATGGCGTGTAGAGAGAAAGAACGTAGTGTGTGGGACCCTTTACTCTTTGGTTTGTGTCAATCGTTCGTTGGCTGTCATTGTTATTGGTTGTCTTTCTCCGTCTCTTTACGTTATATATTTCTTCTCTCTCGAGTAACGAAATTTACCCGTGATGCGTTTTTCAAATCACTCTCCATTGTTGTCCAAATATCAGACCGCCGCCAGAAGTTTCACTTCAAAAAATTCACAGTCCTCCACAAAGATGCAACCGAGGAGGACATTGAAAATTCTCAAGCAAAGTTCAACGCGGTAAGCTTAAAAACACAAATTCGATGTGGCTATTTTGAGCGGCATAATGTTACTACATGGGTTAGATCAGGGGTCAGAATGTCGGGACGGCCTGTTGCACATGTTGAAGTGCCGCATGTTTTGTTTATTTTCCGCTCATTGCTCTATTGAAATTTATACGAAGACATTTTAATATTTATTTATGATGGAGATGGATGCGATACGACTACCCACAACCTTTTTTTTGTTCTAATGTGAGTGAAAACATTTATCGTGCAAACTTGTTATCCGAAAACGACATTATTTTCAAAAAGCTGTAGTGTCGAATCAAGGTATTTAATGGCTCAGCTAGCTTTTGGAGAAAATGTTCAGTCAAAACAGTAACAGTGGCGCACCCAGGGGGGGGGGGCTATCGGGCCATGGCTCCCCCCCCAGGCAGCCTCTCCAAAACTGTATTTTTACGTTTAAAAAAATGTAGCAACATCAGGGGTCGTATTTTCGAATTCATTCGAGTACATTTCGTACACGAAATTTGATTGACAGCAATGTAAATTAAATGGGGAGCATTCGAAATCGTATCAAATTTCGTCTGCGTGAATATTCGAAAATACGACCTCAGGGGCCTTATTCTGTAAGGAACGAACCGTTTGATTCGGTAGAATTTTTTCGATTGTGACGTCATTTTCGGTTTGGTAGCGTGAAAACCAAACCGAAAATAACGGGTGTGCCACCCTGACACTTCAAACCTATGTAGCCGCCCCCCCCCCCAAAATATTTTCTGGGTGCGCCATTGAGTCAAAAGACTTTAATATGCCATTTGCAGTTGCAAATCAAAACATGACTGAATATGTGGATGAAGGTCCTGAAAATTTTACTACTGTTAACAGTAGTTTGATATCGGAGGATAATAGGTCTGTTTCTGCAGAAATCACAAACCAGTCAGAGCGAATTTCATTGGTTGAAAACAGTCAGAAAACTAGTTTCAACCAATGAAATTCACTCTGACCAGTGGCGGATCCAGAGGTGCTTTTCGGGAGGGGGGGGGCACTTAACCTCCGAACGTGGTCATTTAGTAGCCGCTAGAGCCAGAGGCTAATCGCCGAAGGCGGAAAATTTTAGGGTGCCACGCCCCTTTTTCGGGCCCTTTAACGATATCTGATATCAATATTTGGTTGTACAGGGTATTTTTTATATTTTTATAAATAAAATGTGAATAGGAAAAGTGTATAGGTTGAAAAATAGTTTCCAGAAAACATAGTTTTGTTCATACAGGGTGTTGCAGAAAGTTTAAAAAACAAAAATAATATATGTTTTTTATGGGACACCCTATTAAGTATTGAATATTCGGATTCTACGTAAAACTCCTGAGCAGATTTCATATGATATACACTATACCTAAGTTCAACTGTTTTCAAAATATTGAGAGTTGAAATTTGACTTTTTTTGCAACTTTGACAGGCTGTAAAACTTAAACAGTTAGGGTAAACGCACACTAGCGATTCATTGTAGTGCGATAGTTTTGTCGCAGTCGCGTCGCCGTCAATAGGACTGGTTCTATTTTTTATCGGCAGCGATTATTTTGTCGCAGAATGCGTGTATGTTCGTTAAAATATGAATGTTCCATTTCAGCGACTAAACAGTCGCGCGACAATAAATAGCTAGTGCGCGCTTGCCCTTAATTTCACAGCAAAATCGATTTCACATTCACGTCTTAGATTTTCATAAACTTTGAATTTAATCCATGATTGAAAATTTCAATTAAATTTAATCTCCGGTTAAAGTCAACGTTGGTGTCGAAAGATAGCTGCTAGAAAATTACCCGTTTAGGTTTTACAGCCTGTCAAAGTTGCAAAAAAGTCCAATTTCAGCTGT